TGTGTGTGTGTGTGTGTGTGTGTGTGTGGCTTTACGTGAATGTGCAGCAACTTGCAAGCTTAATGCTTTCCGCCTTTAAAAGTCAAAATTTTAATCATAAGTAAGTGCTTATGCATGCATGTAGGTGCTATCACTCCTTTCATACAGATCACAATTTCAATTCATGTGTGCAAAATTCTTCTTTTCATGTGATTTGCAGGTAAGCATATAAGATTCCTTAACACTGTAGGAAGCCCATCATTGCACTTAAGTCGCTGTAAATGTGATCTTTTTAATAAACGAAAACTAATGAAATTTATTTGAAAACTTTGAGTTTTAATGATAAGGATAAAATAAAATGTAAAGTGAATAGTACCAGGATTGACTTTTTAATGTAAAAATATGATTTTTCGTTAAAGTAAACTGTAACGAGAATTTTTCGTTAAAATTCCGTTTTAATAAATCAAGTTTGAAATGTTGAAAAAATGGTCATAAAAGTATTAATATGACTGATTTGAACATTGATAGAACTAAAAGCAATTATGAACCTACAATTATTTAAACCGAACATTGCAAAGTATTTGCTAAATTTAGTCACCAGTCCTTCAAATATTAGCAAATAAATTCTCACATGCAACTAATCCCTCCACAAATAATCGGACAATACCTGCAAGTTTTAAACATTTGCAGTCATAATCTTCATCATCTGCGCAGGTAACTTTGTCTTCAACCTTCCCATGCATTCTGTTGAATTCAAAATTAACGAACTTTCTTACGACAGCAGGACAAAACCACAAGATCTAGATCATATTACCAAACCCTAAAGATGAGAAAATACTAGTTTTATTGGTCAAAGTTCGCAAAGCATGAATGAATTCTACCAACCTTTTTTATGTATGAATAAAATAATTAAGACAAAAAGAAAACAATGTTAGGGAAAATATATTCAATATGCAATAGACTGATATCAACAGACTAACGAAAACAATGATATAACAGTACTTATATTACTATATAACAACTATTCCACTATACCAGATACAATATGTTATAACAATGAAATCGTTGACACAAACAAGAAAATGATGTGAATCGAAACAAATTGACTTGTTGAGTAGACAGAGTCTTGCGAATTGACAATGTCAGACATAGTTTTGCCCTTCTTTGTGCTTGAAGTTCAATGAATATCTATCTCCCAGGTTTCCCCTATCAAGATGTAAATATATAACCCCCACCCCCACTAAATTATTCAAATTTTACATCAGGGTATTATGGAGTTTAGTTTGGGACCCACAATTTTACTCGATTTGTGTTAGTAAATGCATTTCGAATCTTTGGCAGGAAGTGTTGGAATATAAAGGTTTTCGCCTAAGTAGGTCAAAGACAGAGTATATAGACTACAAATTCAGGGGGGATGGGGGTCCAAGTGAGATAGGGACGAGGATTGGAGATTAGGAAGTACCAAAGAGTGAACGCTTTCGTTATCTTGGACCTATCTTGCAAAAAAGAATGGAAAATTGTATGGAGATTTCAATCATAGAATACAAGCTGGATGGATGAAGTAGAAGATTGTATCAGATGTGTTGTGCTACAGTTATATGCCACTAAAACTCAAGGAAAAATTTTATAGGACGAAAATAAGGCCAACACTAATTTATGACTCGAAATGTTGGCTAGTCAAGCTTCAGTACGTGCAAAAAATGAGTGTAGCAGATATGAGAATACTTCATTGGGTGTGTGGGCACACGGGAAATACATGATTAAGAACGAAGATATACGAGGTAAAGCAGGAGTGGCTGATTGAAGACGAATTGGGAGAAAATTGGTTAAGGTGGTTTGGACATATGAAACGAAGACATACAAATGATGCAAAACGAAGCCCATTGACGTTCTGTCATATACCCAACCCCTTTTAGTAGGATAAGGCTTTTTTATTGTTGTTGTGTTAGTAAATGCATGTGTAGTATGAAATTGGAATAATTTCAATGCTCATACTTTAGTAAACACAATAAAGCCAAAAATTGAAATAATTTCAATATTCATTTCATGTAAGTTAAGATATCATAAATGTCTAAAGGTATAAGATAGTGTTATGCACACACCAATTTTTACTTAGGAAAACTAATAAAAAGGGTTTCAAAACTTTAAATTTTAATCAAAAGCCATTCTACAACTTTATTTAACGATAAGAACAAAAGAAAGAAAAAAAAATACAAAAGAAAAATCCAATTAAAAGCTCGTGAAAAACAAGTGGGTATACCAAATCCTAAACGCCTCCCAGCATTGTCTTGAACCCAGATTATCAGAGAACTCGATATTAGAGCACCGATGTTGATAGAAAAGTAAAGCCAGTTGAAGAAGGATCCTTTCTTTACTCTTTCCGTTTTATCTGTATCATAATCCACACTAAAAGACGAAGGAGTAGGATTATCTCCCCTCTTATTCCCATCCCCTTTCCTCTCCTAATTTCATCTCACAAATAGGTTTTTGTCTTCTTCTGGGTATTAAAAAAATAACACAAAACGTTGACATGGCTTAAACGTAACCGTTCAAATAAGAGAGGAGGGAAGAGGAGAAAGACTAGGAGGAAAGAGAATCCTACTCCAAAGACGAAACACGTGGCTTGACAGATAAAACGGAAACACATGGAGTGTTCCCAGAGCAATCCGATGGAGTCCAAAGAAGAACACTCTATGTGGTACTGAGAAACGGAAGGACATACCGAATCCACACATCATGGAGGCTTCAATGCGGGAACTGATGCAAAGAGAGTCAAAGTACCCATTCCCTACACCAAATAATAATTAGTGAACAAATCAGTAAATTTATATGCTCTAATCCCCAATACATATACATATATACATATATACATATATATATATATATATATGCATGTAAATGAGATGAAATTCAATAAGCACCCAAAAAATTGGAAGAAAACGCAAATTTGTATTTGTATTTACAATGAAGAACACCCCATATGCGTGCATGAATATGTGTTCAGTTTTAAGAATAGTGTAGTTTCCGAGTTCAATTTTAGAAATAGGTTAATATTCGTGCTTAGTTTCAGAAATTATTAGTCTTGAGTTTTCAAAAATGGTATTTAGCTTCAAAAATAGTGTAGTACTGTTCAATTGAAGAAATAATGTAGTACCGTTCAGTTTCAAAAATACTGTAATACCGTTCAGTTTCATAAATATTGTAGTACCGGTCAGCTTCATAAATAGTGTGTGTGAATGACGAGGAGTCCTGCGTTGCAGGTTTATTACTTTTTTTATTATTATATTAAACTTTTGTCTTTTTCATTAAAATTAAAGTCAGGATGATTTTTTGTTCAAATAAATTTAAGTCATTTTCATTAAATAAAAGAGAATTGTTATTAGCACTTGAAAAATCTCATTCTACACTTCAAACTTTCTATATTAGGGAAAAAATACACTTATAAGAAATGTATAATGAGATTTTTAGAGTTCCAATAACATTTTCCAAATAAAATTATATGATGATTTCATTAAAGTTCGGGAGGTGAGGCCGGAGGTGGAGTGAGATGGGCTCCGAAAGTCTAAAACATGAGCTCATTTCAAACTTTTTGGGCCAAGCCTTTTTACCTTTAGGCTTCATATAGACCTTCTTATTTTCTAGGAAGAAGGCCACCCGAACTAAAATAAACTTATGGCTTGTAAGCATGGGTCTTTCGCAAAATAAATTTAATTTTTTTTTTTTTTATACAAGGCTAGGTCACAATGAGTCATATGAACTTGTAAGAGCCGAATTTGAAATTTCTCGCTTAAAAATAGAAACGGAAAATTTTTTGAAATGTCATATGAATTTGTACATATTTTTCAATTTGTTATATAAATTAAAATTTTGCAATTTGTCATCTTATCCTAACTCCATTAAGTTCTTCATCCAAAATAAGTCATGTGTGTGGTACATGACTCGTGTTCAGGGTTATTTATGTCATTTTGACACTCCACATCCTTCTAGTAAGTTGCATTTGATCAAAACAATTCTAGGGTTTCTTCATTTAGACATTTTGTTAATGTCAATTATTATTATTATTATTTTATGAAGACAAGGTTGTGAACTTTAAGCAATCTTTCCTCAGTATTTGGTGTTTTTGATTTTGAACATAATTAAGCAATGGAACAATATTTTTATATGGTAACAATAAAATGATCATATGCATTGCATTCTCGTAGGGTTGCTCAAAATATGCTAAGATACACAAGTGGGTGTGTTCAGTTAGTATGTCATGAAATCGAATTTTATATGGACTTTGTTATATGAGAAACGGGTGGAGGTTTAGTGCCAAAATTGGAGCTGTAGATGCATATATGTTGGTCGAATACAACGATCCGCATGAATACCATTGAACACAAAATTTAGAAGGTTTTACTAAAGAAAAATAAAGAACTTGTAAAAAGATCTTAAAATAGTAGAAATAAACCTAAACACAAGTCATGTGGGACGCACATGACTAATTTTGGCTGAAAAACTTAATGGAGTTAGGATAAGATGACAAATCGATGATTTTCAGAAAGTTGATATGACAAATTGCTTAAAATTTTAGTTTATATGACAAACTGAAAAAGGTGTACAAGTTCATACGACATTTTAAAAAATTTCCAAATAGAAATAAATATCATAGACTATAATAATAATGGTTGTAAGCATTGTTCTACTAAATGTAAATATAAAAAGAATTTCTTTATACAATAACGTGTCTATCTCTGTTATCACATTGCTGTAATCATGTGCTCATTTGTTGAGAAATATCAACACAGTTGTATACATTCGGTGGAAATTCCCCGGAACATTTTCTAGCCAATTGATTGAATAAGTTAATGGAAAAGCCAATGACAAAAACAAAAGAATGAGTGCATAAGGAAACTAAGGTCTCTCCTTGAGTGAGAGCAGCAACAAAACTAAAGTTTCTCCTTCAGCCGCCGGCGCTATTTCAGTTTAGGGCCGGTGGCAACCCCTTCTTTTCCTCTTTGCCTTCTCTTTTTTTACTTTCTGTTACTTTCTCCCTACTCTCCTTCATGTTCTGCTTTGCCTTTCCATTGCCTCTTGCTGCCTCAGATCCGATCTTCCCATTGCCTATCCATCCATCTGCATATCTACCTTCCATCTGCTTGTCCTACATCCATACCTTCATTTGCATGCCCCTCTTCTGTCTTCCATGGATTTCATCTCAGAGCCGTTCTGCAATCACTTTTGACAGCGATTTGGTGCGGTCCTCCTATGAAATGGTGCGTAAAGTCCGATGTTCACACCAGCTCGGGTGGCCACACCACCACCTTTTCTCTGTCTGCCTTTTTTGACAGTGTTGCTAGTGGTAATTCCACGAGCTTCTTTGGTTTTCCTAACCTGGTGGTCGCTATCTACGAGATGCTCTCTGATGGAGGACAGAATCTACTTTCTTTCCATCTCTAAGGTGCTATTTGGTTGGGCTTTCGGCAAGTGGTGGCTTTACGATGGCGTCAGTAGAAAGGAAGTTGTTTGGGTTTATTTCAGTGTTGTTTTGTTTTGGGCTCTTGGGTTACTTTCAAGGTCCATTCTTTTGCATGTGTTGTTATGGTATATGGGCCTTCTATTACGTAATTGTTGTGCTTTGTTAATAAAGTAACTTAGGCCAAAAAAAAAATAATAATAATGAAAAAGGTTTGAAAACTTTGAGTTTTAACAACAAGAATAAAATAAATAGTACTAAGATTAACTTTTTAGGGTAAAAATATAGTTTTTTTGTTAAAGTGAACAATACCAGGAGTTTTTCGTTAAAATTCTTTAAAAAAAAAAATGAAAAGGAAAGTGCTGAAGTTATTTACCTTTCAATTTTCTTTTAGTCGGAGGAACTTAATTGGGCCTGAAGTAACAAAATACTGCATTGAAATCAAACTTGATGATCCCTCAGAGTCGGAGGCATCATCATTTGCAAATGCAAAACGACCCAAGATCTCCACTTCTTGTAGTAAATATGGGCGGGATTATTAGGAAACCTCCTGAAGAAACACACGCACACTGTGGATGTGACATGGATAAATATTCAACGCAAAGAAAATTGAATGGCATAAGCAATCCGACGGAGGCCATTGACATTCTTCAGATCTCGAAGTCGGAGCCACAACCATCCATCAGATCAGATGCGGGTGTTCCTGCTCTTAGACTCGTCGTCCCCAATCGCCATAATCCTCTCCGTCATCCTCTTCCTTCTCCTATTTCGCTTTGCTATCCTCCTCTTCTTCCTCGTCCTCATCTTTTTTCTCTGCGCAGACCTCGTCCACCTCCTCTTTCATCTTTGATTTAATGGTTACCTATTCTCAAAGTAAAATTTTGATTTTTAGTATTTTTATCAGTTTGAAGTGATGGGTGTCTCTTAATTTACAGTTGTGAATGGAATTTTTATTTATTAAGTAATCGGTTTTTGGTTTTGGATGTGCAGGTGAGGCTGGTGATAAAGGGGAGAGTGCAGGGTGTGTTTTACGGGGACTGCAGTGTGGGGAATGCAACTGAATTAGGCTTGAAAGGTTGGGTTCGGAACCGGATTGATGGATCTTTGGAACACTGCTTTCTGGGAACCCTGATGCAGTTAAAGAGATGGAGCAAAGGCGTCGCCGTGGTCCTCCATCTGCAGTAGTCACGGGGCTCGAGGTTGACAATCTTGCTTGCTTTATGCTCCTTAGTTTGGAGGAATCTTAGGCTTTAAGGGGTTCTTAATATTAAGGGGAATACTGTAAATTAATCTGTTAAAGATAAGACTTAGAAATTGTCATTACTACTGTGTGTAAATGTGGTGTATATATATTCAAAATGTAATGTTATATATTTCTTTAATCAATGAAATCATATATTTCTAACATGGTATCACCTGCCTCTGTCTAGCGACCCGATCCAAATCACACTTCCCTCCTTCTGTAGTTCGAATTTTCATCCTCTTCAATTGGATCTTCATCCTTTGCTTGCCTCTGCAAACCCTAGGTCTTGGAAATGGCCACCTGCTTCTTATTCATCTGATTCTGCAGCTTAGATTCATCCTTGTCCAACCATGAATCCAAGCCCTAACACCTCTAATACTACTTCAATCTCTTCTATTACGATTTAGAATATTGGATCTATGGTTTCCATTGTTGAACTATAAGCCATGAGCTGATTAGTATTAGTAAATAATCTTGTATTTAATTGTGTATCCACTTGTGCTTAGAATTGCCAAGTGTAAGACCAAAATATGTAAGGTCATGAGTGTCATGTGTAATGATCCTAGCCATTAGCTAGATGAGTGGCTGTGATCGGTTTCTAGAAAGAATGATCTAGCTTAGCTTTGTTAACTGTTTTATTCCTCTTGCACGCCTTGTGTGAGAGAGAGATAAAAATACAATCAATGAAATCAGTGAAATTCTTCTGTGATTTGCAAAGACAATAGTAGCTATTTTTCTCATAAAACCTTTTCTAGTGCATTCATCTTCTTCCTTTCGAATTACATCAACTCACACTAACATGGCCTCAGAGCCAGGTTCGATTCTCTCTAGCTGGGCGTAAACTGTAAGATTGAAACGTCGCCGGAACTAGGAAAACCGAGCTTCAACAAAGCTCATCTCAGTCTGATAGAGATAATCGAAGTTCATTGGGTGATTTAAAAAAAAAGCCACGAGTTTTTGATACATCAGAGCTCACAATGGCCGGATCTAGAAGTTCAGAAGTTCGAACTCCGATCTTCTCCGGCAAGAACTACAAGTTCTGGAAGATCACCATGACAACGATTTTCAAGTCACATGGACTGTGGAAATTGGTAGAGAAAGGGATTACACTCCCGGATGATTCGAAGAAGAAGAAGAAGGTTGATTAAACTGAAACAGTTGATGACGATGATGAATAGACTGCTAGATGCTCATGAAGGATGCTAAAGCTCTCGAGATTATTCAAAATGTTGTGTCCGATCAAATCTTCCCTTAAATCACCAACGCAGTTTCATCCAAAATGGTTTGGGATCTGTTGTATGGTGAATACCATGGTAGTGATCAGATACGATCGGTTAAACTTCAAAACTTAGGTGTGAGTTTGAATATGCTAGGATGCGAGATGGTGAATCTCTGTCTAGTTAGCTTACTCGGTTAAATGAGATAATCAATCAAATGAAAATATTTGGAGAGACACTTTCAAATGAGAGATTAGTGCAAAAGGTGTTAATTAGTCTGAGTAAAGCTTATGATCCTATATGTCTTGTGATTGAAAATACTAAATGCCTTGAAACTGTTGAGCTACAAGAAGTGATTGCAATTTTGAAAAGTCAAGAGCAGTGTTTTGATTTACACTCTTCTGATGTAACTAAGAAGGCATTTGCCGCCTTATCTGTGAGTAATGGACAAAATAAGAGTAATCACAATCTAGTAATTACCAGGCACAGAAAAGCTAGAATGCAAGGGGTAAGAAATGGGATTCAAAGCCAAGGTTTCAACAAAAACCATTTGGCACACCTACATAGAATTTGAACTCATCACAGACTATGGGTCAAGCAGGTGGAAAACCGCAATGCAAAGTGTGCTCTAAGTTTCATTTTAGAGAGTGTAGGCATAAGGGGAAACCAAAATGTTATAATTGTGATAAATTTGGTCATTGGGTCAGAGAATGCACTGCAGGAAAGATTGTGCAAAAGGCAAATTCTGCAAACCAAGTGGAAGTGACAGGGAATCCGTTCTATGCGAATAGTGCAATCTCAGAGACAAATGTTAATGGTAATTGGTACATAGACAATGGTTGTAGCAACCACATGACAGGAAATGCTAACCTCTTTGTTGATATAAGAACAAATGTTGCTGGAAAGGTGCAAATGCCTACTGGTGTGTTAATAAATAATGTTGGAATGTGTTCATTGGAACTTGACACTAACAAAGGGAAGAAGTACATTAGAGAAGTCATGCATTTGCCAGGATTGAAAGAAAACTTGCTGAGTGTTGGACAAATGGATGAGCATGGATATTATCTATTGTTTAGAGGAGGCATGTGTAGTGTATTTGATGGACCTTCACTTGACAATATTGTCATCAAGGTTAAGATGAAGGAAATTTGATGTTATCCTCTTTCTCTGTTGAAAAGCAATCAATTTGTTCTGAAAGCTAGCATAGACCATTCTACTTGGACTTGGCACAGAAGGCTAGGTCACTTACATTTCAAGGGGCTTAAACAACTTAGAGAGAAAGATATGGTGCATGGTCTTCCATATCTGGAAGAAACAACCTAGGTGTGTCAAGGGTGTCAGTTTGGAAAACAACACAGAGATTGTTTCCAAAAGAACAGGCATGGAAAACAAATTATCCCCTGAAACTTATTCATGTTGACTTATGTGGTCTTATGCAGAATGCATCTATGGCTAGAAACAGATACTTTATGTTACTCATTGATGACTGTACAAGGATGATTTGGCTGTATTTTCTCATATATAAATTTGATGCATTCAATTGTTTTAGAAAGTTCAAGTCAATGGTGGAACTGCAAAGTGGCTTCAAAGTTAAATGTCTAAGGAGTGACAGAGGTGGAGAATTCTTATCATTTGAGTTTTCTAAGTTCTGTGAAACTTAAGGAATCCAAAGGCAACTTACAAAGGCCTATATTCCCCAACATATTGGAGTAGTGGAAAGGAATAACAGAACTATGATTGAAATGGCTAAAACAATGCTCCATGACAGGGGTTTGCCATACTTTCTTTGGGCAGAAGCTATGCACACAGCTGTGTATATTCTAAATAGATGTCCTACAAGAGCACTTGGAAATATAACCCCTTTTGAGGCCTATAGTGGCAAAAAACTAGGTATAGCACATCTTAAGATCTTTGGTTCTTTGTGCTATGTACATGTGCCTGCTGAGCTAAGACAAAAGCTAGATGCAAAAAGCACCAAGGGTGTGTTTGTTGGCTATGCAACCTATGAAAAGGGATATAGAGTTCTTGATCCAATTTCCAAGAAACTTATTCTATCAAGAGATATTGTCTCCGATGAAAAAGCCTCATGGAATTGCAAAGAATATCTTCAATAATCTGTGACAATGTTTGATGCTGAGAAGCAACTTAATATGTGTCCCAAAATTGAAGCTAGTGGAAGTGAAACTACTCTATCACCACATGTGTCTCTATCTCCACACGAGGAAAACATATGTTCAATTGGTTCTAACTACATCAGTACTCAATTAATTTCAGATGAATCTTCAAAAAGTATAAGTAAAGATGAAAGGAGCACTCAAGCTTATGATCACACACCTCTGAAATGGAAAAATCTTGATGATATTCTTGCTCAATGCAATCTGTGTATTATGGAGCCAGAAAAATATGCAGAATAAGCTCAAGATGAATCCTGGTTAAAAGCAATGCATGATGAGTTGACCATGATTAAAAAGAATGGCGCATAGGAATTAGTTGATAGACCAACAATGCATCCTGTTATTGGGGTTAAGTGGGTTTATAAAACCATATCGAATCTGGATGGCACAGTCTTAAAGAACAAGGCAAGGTTAGTTGCCAAAGGTTATGCTCAGAAACTTGGTTTGGACTATAATGAAACTTATGCTCCAGTGGCTAAACTGGACACTATCAGAACCCTCATTACATTAGCTGCTCAAAAGAACTGGAAGTTGTATCAGCTTAATGTTAAATCTGCCTTCTTAAATGAAGTACTACAGGAAGAAGTATATGTAGATCAACCAGAAGGATTTATAGTGCAAGGCAAGGAAGATAAAGTGTATAGGCTTCATAAAGCCGTCTATGGACTGAAAAAGGCACCTAAAGCCTGGTATGGAGAAATTGATACCTATTTCTCACAGTGTGGTTTTCGAAAGAGTCTTAGTGAACCAACACTGTATATCAAGTCAAGGGGAGAAGAAGATATCATAATTGTTTCTATCTATGTAAATGACATTGTCTACACAAGTAGTAGCATGGAGATGTTGAAAGAATTCAAAGAGGACATGATGATGAAATATGAGATGACGAATTTGAGTCTACTCTACCATTTTCTAGGTATGGGAGTCATTCAAACTAACTCCAACATCTTTATTCACCAAAAGAAGTATGTTTTTTCTCTGTTGAATAAATTTAGGTTGAATGAATGCAAATTTGTGACTACACCACTGGTAGCAACTGAAAAGTTAAGCAAGGATGATCGAAGTGGTCCAGCAAATGAAGAATAGTATAGAAAGATTGTGGGGAGTTTGCTGTATCTCACTGCTACAAGACCCGATGTGATGTATGCAGCAAACTTGCTTGCTAGGTTTATGAATTGCCCTACAAACAAACATTATGGAACTGCCAAAAGAGTCCTCATGTACATTAAAGGAACACTAGACTATGGTCTGGAGTATGTGAAAGGTAAAAATGCTATGTTGATTGGTTTCTGTAATAGTGACTGGGGAGGATTAATGGATGATAGCAAGAGCACCTTAGGGTATGCTTTTTCTTTTGGTAGTGGGATTTTTTCTTGGGCTTCAGTTAAATAAAACTGTGTAGCACTCTCAATTGCTGAGGCAGAATACATTAGTGCTTCAGAGGCGACTGCACAAGCAATCTGGCTTAGGGTTATGTTGGAGGATTTTGGAGAACTTCAAACTGAAGCAACTCCATTGCAGTGTGACAGCACGTCTGCAATTGCTATCACAAAGAATCCTGTGTTTCACCAGAAGACTAAGAATATTGATCGAAGGTATCACTTTATCAAGGATGCTTTGTAAGAATGAATCACTGATCTGGTTTACTATCCTACAAAAGAGCAATTGGCAGATATCTTCACAAAGTCATTGGCTAAGGATTGATTCAACTATCTCAGAGATTTGCTTGGAGTCAAATCAGCTCAAAACTTAAAGGGGAGTGTTGAACTATAT